CCACCCCCGTTAAAAAAAAAAAAAAAAAAGTGGGCTTCCCCAAAGTCCACGGTATAGTTCGAACACTGATTATAACCAAGGCAAAAAGCAGGTCCAATGAAGATGGACACTGTTAGTGTTGTATTCTGATCAGATCTACACGGGCATGTGAAGTTACAATTCATCACAGCCAGAAATCCAAATAACAAAATGCTCAGTGTAACAGAGCAGACGGCATCAAACGTTTACAGGATTTCTGTAGCAATGACATCATCTGAAATAATTTGGTCTGCTTCTATCTCATATAGTCTGTAGTCCCGTTCACACGTTCTTTATATTCTGGACAGATTCACTTTAATGAAGAAGATAGTTATTATTCATAATGAATGAATGAATATGTCTTGAACATATCAATGGTGCAAGGAACATTTAGCACAACAATAATGAATATGGTGAATCTACAGTAGAGTTGCATATCTGTGTATTTAAAAGATCTGTATAGTTTAATAGACTTCAAATGTTCTCTCTTTTCTTTTTCTTTTCTCGTCTTATTTGTAGCCAAGATGAAATCGTGTCTGACAATTAAAAACCTTGAAAAGGCAATACATGCTTTGACCTCCTCAAGTCTTTCCCTTTCTTCTGCAAGAAAGAAAGTCAGAATTCTCAGTTTATATATCGCAATTATGACTTTTTTTCTCGCAATTATGACATAAAAAGTCACAATATGTTTTTAATTCGTGTTAGAAACAAACTCAGAATTCAGACAAAAAAGTCAGAATGGCAGGATGGAAACTCAGAATTGAAAGATGTAAACTTGGAATTGCGAGAAAGTAAGTCAGAATTCTGAGTTAATTATTTTTTTCTGATTATTTCTCTTGCAATTCTGAGAAGAAAAGTCTAAATTGTAAGGGAAAAAACCCTGTAAACATAGGACACAATGTACAATGTATTAAAATGAAAATAAATAAATAAACTGGATTACTGCACTGTCGTGTGTGTCAGTTTTTTTTCCCTTTTTTTGTTGTTGTTGCTGCTTTCACCCTGACATCATCATATTATTCTTCCAACTTTCACTTTCCTTCAATATCTTCGGTTTATTGTTATTATTGACATTACCTCAAAATATTTGTCATAACTTATGACCTGTAATGTAGGATAGTTTAATGATTAGTTTCAACAAAATATGAACTCTCACCACCCTCATGCTAACTTGACTACCTCAGAGAGCATAAAAAAAAACATTACAAGTCAAGCCATAGCTGTGGTGCATTAATAAGGACAAAATCGACTTGCTGAATATTTGCCTTTTCTTGATTTCATGCCATAAAATCATAAATGACAGCCTACCTGCTGCAACTAGTTTGAATTCACTTCGATGTTTGCAACTACCAGAGTCTGCACAGAGCTCTATGTGTACCATGTGTTCTTTTTTTTCCATTTGTAAAATAGGAAACCACACATTCTTTTCACCACACTCCTCTTTTCTTCATGGAACGTTTGGCAGCAGACATATAATATGATTTAAGCTATGCCTGCATGCGCAAAAGTGTTGGCCTTTTTTCTTTCTCGAATCAGCTGTGATAGAAGACGAGGTCAGGTGTTTGGCTGATTCTATGTCACTTTTCTGAATGGGAAACTTTTAACATGTAAACTTTACATACATCAATGTAAAGTTTGGAATTTTGAAGTTTTATGATTTAGACAATTGTCAATAAACAAAATGGAGAGACCAATATTGTTGCTTTACAAGCCACTTTTTTTCCCCTTTCTTAGACACTTTGCTCCTACCATTTTCTTTGCCAGAGAGCTGAGCATTAATATTGATCAATAATCAAATAATGCTTTTACCCCTAATTAGTTATTATGCTTATGTTATATGCCCTCACTATGCCAAATCCACACTGTAAAAAAAATTCCGTAAAATTTACGGTAAAAAACCGGCAGCTGTGGTTGCCCAGCTCCAGTTTTAACGTATTGGTGAGTGAAGCACCTGCTTCCTAAGACTTCAGAGAAGTTTTTAGCCTCTAAGCTAATCACTAGAGTGCTTAAGTTATCACACCCCTCGCTAAATCCTATAGGTTCTGCACATGCTTTGGTTTTCCAATATGTTTTGTGCTTTTGAGCTCTTCCTTAGTGGCTTTATATTGAGACAGAGGGGACTCGTATTACATAAGTTGCAAACATTCATTCATGATTAAGAATGGAACATAACACTTTTTTTTTGTAATAAACTTTTGTAAATCTTTAATAAAGTAATAATTAATGAGTTACATGATTTGGAGACGCATCATACTAACAGATTTGTTTCAGGAGCAAACTGCTGCTGGTTACTTCCTGGTGAGTGTTTGTTTGTGTCAATGTAAAAATATGTGCTTTGATTAACCACATTTTAACTTTTGTGGTTACCGAAATGCTGATTGAAAACATCGTGGAAATGTTACTTAATATAAAAAAATAAAACATCAACACTTCCCTATAGCCTACACGAGGCTACTTGTTTAATGTCCGCCATCAGTTTCAAGATGACTGGACTTGTAGAAACGAGTTGATTAGTGTGATTTTAAACAGTGAAGTGAAGATCAATCACTGAATTAAATCAGTCTAGACACTTTATTGATCTCTATAGAACAATTTGTCTTTACAACATGATTGATATCTTACACATTACATATTCACACATCATATCATCTACATATAGAGTGACAGCATGTCCTCATTTTGTGGCTTTTCTTCACTCCGGCAGACATCACAAGCTACAATGACTATAATACCAATGCTGAAGACAAGGAGCAGACCATATCCCCAATTCTGAAATGAATAAATGAGTCAATCAATACAATAAGATCAGGACCAATGGCGTTAAGACAGTTTTCATTTCGCAGATGCTTTTATTCAGTGACATCACTTATTAGAATTCTATTAGGTTTATGTGGAAATCAATGTAATTACGTGTCAGACAGTTAACAGCGTTTCAGATTGGGGTCCCATCATAGGGAATCAAACTGTCCTTGTTCTTTTGAGGAAACAAGGAAGTATTTGTAGTATTCAACTTACCTGTGAAGTGGCAATAAAGCTGAGAGTCAGAGCCTGTAGTTCGGTCTCATTTCTTCTTGGAACTGATTTAGTCGGTTTACACCATTTCACATGTAGCTGATCATCTGAAATATACACTCCATTCCAGTATGTGTCCTGACAGGCAACATAATCACCATCAAGGAGCACAAGAATGATCCATACAAAAGGTGGAATCAGGCAAAGAAAGAAATCTCTCCATTTTACACATTTTTGGAAACATTGTTTAAAATTTGGACAATTAGAGTACCATTCTTTGACATTTGGACAGTTAGAGGACGATTCTTTGAAATTTGGACATTTACAGGAGCATTCTTTGGAATTTGGACAATTAGAGGACAATTCTTTGACATTTGGAAATGTACAGAACCATCTTTTGAACCATAATTTGAAAATGTTTTTAAAAGAACATCGATCAGCGTGTTTAACTGGCCGTAAAGCAAGACACGTTAAAGCTAAAACAAAAAAAAAAGGTGCAGCAAAGATGAGGTTTGATACGGTTGCATTCAGCTCAACTTTGCACGGGCATGAAAAATCTTTATCAATCAAAGCTTCCAATGGAATCAACAAAATGCTCAATGGAAGAGAGGTGGAAAGAGCCTTTTTCCCCAGCTCGCTTTTAAATGGTTCAAACAGTTTTTTTGTTAAAGACATCTTACAGCACACAACAGGTAAATGTGATGATATTTTGATATCTTCTTTGTTTAATGTCTCAGGAAATGCTCATAATCTGGCATCAGATGCTCAGGAAATGTTTAAAGTTGGAGAGGTCTCCTACAATGAACAGAATAACAATTATTTATTTATTTAGTTCTTGGCCTATGCATGTCTGTATATATTTGCAAATATAAATTCCAATTAATTAACAAAAAAAATATTTCATAATAATTAAAACGGACAACTATTAACAATAATAAACAAAACTAACAATTACCAATACAACAACAATCTGTTAACTTTCCAAGTTAGATTAGAAAAAAAAAACACCCGTCTTTGCAGGAAACACATTGTCATTTTAATATGTAATAGTTTACATTCTTACAATGCATTATAGCCTTTTACCTTTTAAAAAATGAAGTGAGTCAGATTTTGGAGTTTGGTCTCATTTCCTCTGTTTTATAAGTCGCTGTGAACATACAATAGCATCATCAGAATCAAGAATGAAAGGAAATGTTGCTTTATAAAGTGGCAGACCTCGTGACTGATATAAAAATTAGTTTCACTTCATGAACACTTTGTGATTGCAATGTCAGCATTTTTGTAATCTGTGTGGCATCTTGGTTCATGATTCTAATAATCTTGTTTAATTTCTCAAAAAAAAACAAAACAACAACTATTCACACTTATCATGCAATGCTAAAATGTTACTATTTGTGTTATGGTACAGTATTGTTATTTTTAAGAAAGTTTACAAATATTTAGCACACTGCATAGTGGAAAGTACAAAATTACAAATTGTGTATGATTTAACTCACGGAGGAACTGGGCATCAGTTGTTCTTTCACTTTCTGTGCTGTGTTGTTGATAACTCAGCATATAATGCCAACAAGTCACATGCATTCAAGGCTATGGCTTTATTTTAATGGGGGGAGGGTTATGTGGAGTGTGGTTCGGGTGGGAAGCGTGTAATCTGCAATCGCTGACACGATAGCTTTTTTTGCGCAGTTTTTTTTTTTTTTTCGCTTTCACTTTCGAAATCGATCACGTTCAGTAGGAGGAGAGAGGAGGGGAAGGGATGCAAGGCCCTCATTTGGGGGGCATTAACATATAATGATCCATTAATATAGATAGATGCAGGGCAACAAAATAATTCAACTCAAAGTTCACATTTATAAACGATATTCTTTTTGAATGCATAACAACATACAGATTTATATAAGTCACAAAGTTTGTGGACACTGGACTAGAAAATGAATCAGATAAACATGAACCTATATTTAAAAAGTTTTTTTTCTCTCTCTCTCTCATAGTACAAGTAAGTCTGTGTTCCTTTATTCGTCAGTGTGGGAAGTGTGTTTGCATCCCTTTGTGTGTAATCATGTCCACCTTTGGATCAGCAAGCAGATTTTCCACAGCAGTCACAAATTCCCACATAGATAATTGGCAAGACGATGAAGACACAGCTCACACCATAACCATATATCTGCAGGAAAAAACAAAATGATATTGATTGAGGTTTGAGGAATGGTTATATGGTTCATAAGCACAGGAAAAATATATATGTACAAGAAAAAGAGAATCATTTTGTTCTTTAGAGGTACTTTCATTTTCTCGTCTGACACATTGTGAGATAAAAATAACAAATTTAATTGTTCTATTAAGATATTACAATGACTGGAAACACTCATACAGTCATATTTACCTGAGATTGATGGATATATTTTTGAGTCATATTTCGTAGCGCTGTCTCATTTCTGAATTTTTCGATAGGTTTACACCATGACCTGTTGAGCTGATTGTCAAACACGAAAATTCCCTTCCAATATGTCATGGCACAAGAAAAATAATCTCCATCGAGTAACAGGATGATGACCGTTTTTTTTTCTCTCTCTCTCTCATAGTACAAGTAAGTCTGTGTTCCTTTATTCGTCAGTGTGGGAAGCGTGTTTGCATCCCTTTGTGTGTAATCATGTCCACCTTTGGATCAGCAAGCAGATTTTCCACAGCAGTCACAAATTCCCACATAGATAATTGGCAAGACGATGAAGACACAGCTCACACCATAACCATATATCTGCAGGAAAAAATAAAATGATATTGATTGAGGTTTGAGGAATGGTTATATGGTTCATAAGCACAGGAAATATATATATGTACAAGAAAAAGAGAATCATTTTGTTCTTTAGAGGTACTTTCATTTTCTCGTCTGACACATTGTGAGATAAAAATAACAAATTTAATTGTTCTATTAAGATATTACAATGACTGGAAACACTCATACAGTCATATTTACCTGAGATTGATGGATATATTTTTGAGTCATATTTCGTAGCGCTGTCTCATTTCTGAATTTTTCGATAGGTTTACACCATGACCTGTTGAGCTGATTGTCAAACACGAAAATTCCCTTCCAATATGTCATGGCACAAGAAAAATAATCTCCATCGAGTAACAGGATGATGACCCACATTACAGGTGGAATCAGACATGATGTGAAAGCTTTAGGACAGCTCTGCTGAGTTTCATCATCTGCTCCTGCACAAAAAAGACTGCATTTCTCTCTAAAAGGCCTTAAAAAGAGGAACAATAATTCGAAAATGAAAAGAGCTGGTCCAATGAAGAGGCATGCTGTTAGTTGTACATTCAAATCATGTCTGCAAGGGCATGAGAAAACTACTGCTTCCATGAACTCCTCAAATCCAATTAACAAAAGACTCAATAGAAAAATGATTACAAAAGAATGTCGTTTCAGAAATGCATGTGTTTTCTTTAACACCGATATATCTGCAGGAAAAAACAAAATGATATTGATTGAGGTTTGAGGAATGGTTATATGGTTCATAAGCACAGGAAAAATATATATGTACAAGAAAAAGAGAATCATTTTGTTCTTTAGAGGTACTTTCATTTTCTCGTCTGACACATTGTGAGATAAAAATAACAAATTTAATTGTTCTATTAAGATATTACAATGACTGGAAACACTCATACAGTCATATTTACCTGAGATTGATGGATATATTTTTGAGTCATATTTCGTAGCGCTGTCTCATTTCTGAATTTTTCGATAGGTTTACACCATGACCTGTTGAGCTGATTGTCAAACACGAAAATTCCCTTCCAATATGTCATGGCACAAGAAAAATAATCTCCATCGAGTAACAGGATGATGACCCACATTACAGGTGGAATCAGACATGATGTGAAAGCTTTAGGACAGCTCTGCTGAGTTTCATCATCTGCTCCTGCACAAAAAAGACTGCATTTCTCTCTAAAAGGCCTTAAAAAGAGGAACAATAATTCGAAAATGAAAAGAGCTGGTCCAATGAAGAGGCATGCTGTTAGTTGTACATTCAAATCATGTCTGCAAGGGCATGAGAAAACTACTGCTTCCATGAACTCCTCAAATCCAATTAACAAAAGACTCAATAGAAAAATGATTACAAAAGAATGTCGTTTCAGAAATGCATGTGTTTTCTTTAACACCGAAGACAAACATTCAGTTAGTGGCATCTTTGTCTCATGGATTGTGGATACGATCTTTATATGGTGCACAGATCCCCTTCAATGAAGAAAATAATTTTGTTAATTTCAGTTTTTGAATCATTAAATTCTCACTTCTGAATACACACACACACACA